GGAAAAATTCTAGGCCTTAACTTCTTAGAACTCGTGATATTTCTTGCGTGCCAAAGATAAGAAACGCGTGCCTAGGTCGCTGAACGTACATCGAGCCAAACATAAAGCTAGCTGTCTGTTCGCGCACAGAAAAGAGTTAGCGGAAAAAGAATGTTCTGATTTTATATTACTTTTATTGGCAAAACCGAGAACAAACGCCACGCACGTGATTTTAATACAATACAATACGCCATACTTTTTTTCGCTCGACGCATGCGCGGTCGCCGCTCCCAACGCCGCTCGGCGGATGCACACCGATCACGGTAAAAAGACGCGCTCCTTTTAAATTCAAACCGTTACACTGTTCTTTTCAGAGTAAAACTGTCACGAATTGCTCTCGCGAGTGGACATTGCGTCTGAGAGTGACTGTCTGAAAGCATCAGTAAAAAAGGTCAGGAAAAAAATTAGTGGAGAAATTAAATCACCGGATACACAGTTAAGAAATGCAAGTTCTGTTAGAATCTTACTTTTTTATTGTACATATGTTATACCTACATAAGTATGGTCATACTCTTACCTTGAACCGCATTTTTCATAACTTTCCCATCATTTCCAGGAAAAATGACAATTACATTTTTCGTTCCTTAGGATGCGTAGAATCATGCTGTAAAAAAATTTTTCGTTCCGGCCGGATGCCAAAATTGGCCTTCTTTTAACCTCCTCCTTTATGTGATCAATCGGAGCTTCGTTACTGTCTTTGTTGAAAATAAAAATTAGAACGTTACGCGATGATGAAGAAACCGACTATGATTTAAAGGGTTAATGACAATTACATTTTTCGTTCCTTAGGATGCGTAGAATCATGCTGTAAAAAAATTTTTCGTTCTGGCCGGATGCCAAAATTGGCCTTTTTTTAACCTCCTCCTTTATGTGATCAATCGGAGTTTCGTTACTGTCTTTGTTGAAAATAGAACCGACTATGATTTAAAAGGTTAAAGTAGTTTGGTCTGTCTGAACATGTTCAGTTTCTTTGAGAATTTATCTTGGGAGTAAGGTAATCTCTTTTTGGAAAATTCTCTTATGGAGAATATACAGGAATTTTTTCTGGTTTTATTTAAAGAAAAATGTTCAAATAGAGAGCGTGCTACGTGGTGTAATTAAGTTTGCCTGATGGATGGAATATTAAGTTAAATTAAATTGTCTGTGGGTTGACACAGGATGTTTTTTGTTTTATTGATAAATAAGAGTAGATTCACTTTTCAGGAGGGAATGTAGGTTATTTCTTTGCTTGTAACTCGAGTAAAAATTCCAGGTAGAATGATGTAAAATGTGTTTAAGCATATGTATGCAAAATTTCGTGAAAATCGGTTGAAATTTATTCAAATTGCAGCTTGCAACGTGGTCTCGTGTCAAACGCATTTAAAGTTTCCCGCTCAAATATGTAAAGCTACACTTTCTTTTTCGACAAATTAGAATTTCAATTTAGCCAATTTAGCCTCCTGTCTCATTTCAAAGATAATAAACCACCAAATTACCAACACAAAAAAAAATCAAAATTACCAAAATTCCAAATTTACATTTCCACTTACATTTCCAAACTTAACGAAACAAAACATGTCCTTCCAAAATATCCTGTCAATATTTCCAAAAAAAGCATCAAAGCAAGTACAAGCAATAACCGAAATCTTGTCTTAAAAGTGATTTTCTTAAAAAAAAAAAAAAAAAGAAAATGCAAATGTACGAATATTTCAGAATTGCATTTTCCCATACATTTCCAAATGAACGAAACAAAACACTTCCTTCCAAGATAGTCAATTCCTGCAAACAAAAGAATGGCATAATATTCGTGGATCTTAAAAGAAAAAAAAGAAAACTGCAAATGTACTATCATTTCCAAGCGACGTCCATTCACACCGAATAAAATCACACCGAACAGGCTAACACGAATCGAAATGGAATTACAGGCGTGATCTTTTTGACGGCCGTGGCGAATCAATTCCGACTTCACAAGCTGGACAAGGTAGAGAAGTTCGTGATGTCTTACGGCGGCTTACGAGGCGCTGTAGCATTTGCTCTCGTCCTCCTGATCGACCCGAAACGCGTGTCGTTACAGCCGATGTTCGTCACCACTACCATCGCGGTCATCTATTTCACGGTGTTCATACAGGTAAGAGAACGATAACAAGATTAATTAACGGTGGCACGATAACGTGTGGGGGGGAGAATGATTGAAGAAAATCAAATATAGCCGCATTATCTGAGCAAACAACTGATATTGCGATTCTCATATCGAAAGCTATTTCGCTGAGTTTGTCGGACAGGCGAGAGGGACAAACGTAGCAATATTCGTTCACTTTTCGAGATGATAATTTGCTGTTATCGGCAAATAAATGAAAAAATCACAGCACAATCTTTGAAAATATAGGGACGACCTTCGTATCTTTTCAACGATTTCATTCGTAAAAACATTGTTATAGCTCTTTTTTTAAAGTGGTCCCTGCTGGTCCCTTTTATTGCGAACAATTTTCATTGGAAACATTTTTTTCTAACTTTTATAATTTTGGAGATGTTCAACGTCCCTCTTGTTGGTCTTTAATTATTGCATTACAACCTTAATAATTCTTATTGGTCCACTCGGTGTAGTATGAAAGACGCATAAGAGACTATTTTAATATACCTACAGTCTTATTTAAATTTGAGAAGCTTCGCTGAAAATTTTCATCATTATAAGTTAACCGGAAATAGGTGTATCGAAGTATACTTCCTCCGATACATCGATCTTACGGTAATTATAATTCTACCGGCAGTATTAATCACCTTCACACTACTCGGTATAAAATACAATATAATATAAATAAGACAATGAATAAAATATAAAGAATGTTATATTTCAGAGAAGTAACGGTAATTTACCATATCCCAAAGTATCTTTGCCAACGCAAAACTACTATCCTCCACTTGAACAGGCGTTATTACAGTTACGAAATTAAACAGTAGGACGAGACAACGAAGCAAAGTTCGAAGTAGAGTGCTTCCTTGTGTCCAAAGTGGTAGAGAATAACGCGGCAAACTTTTCAGGGATATTTGCCTTAAAAGAAGACATTCGGGTAAACAGTAGGGATTGGTGCATTACGTTCTTTTCGTCTCTACAACGAGAATATCATTGCGTACAATTTCCATCGGGAACTCCAGTCTCTCCCGGTTTTATATGCTTTTCTTTCTACCTGTGTGCAGTTCTAACTTCGCGTTCTTTCATATACATATATACATATAATACTGTTCTTTTATATTCTTTTTTTTATGTCTTCCATTAGGATTATCTCGACGTATTCAAGAAATGTTTCGTAGAGAGCAATTGTCCAAACCAATGATGTTCAACGTCCTCTCCCCTCCTTCACTGTGTTAATATGTGTGTGTTGGACTTGAGTAAAAGTTTCAATTAAACTTCACGGTAATAACGCGTGATGCGGCTGAATGTTGTTCACGATGCTCGCGAGCTTCGTGAAAAAATAACAATAAAAGAGGGTTGTTCGATTCGGAGAGAACGATAGGACAGAGGGAACATCCCCCTTTCTCTAAATCAACATTTCGCCCCCAGAGCCCGTGGCTCGCGAGAAGTAAACTTTCAGAGATGTTGATTCAGACTGGAGAACCATTCAGCGGTACCGCGGGGTCGAAGCTATTCTTACAAATTCTCTCAAGCTTCGTCGATTCTAATATAGCCCGGCGCGCGGTCGTTGTACTTTAGAAATATTTCAAGGGGTGGCTGAGAAACTTTTACTTCTTCTTCTTTTTTCCAACGGAAACATTCGAATTGTTCGTAGAATTGGCGAACGTTTGAAACGTTACCCTTTTCTGGAGAAATGTTCGAAACACTTTTCATCGAGCTGCGTTTCGTACTGTACAGGGTGGACCGCGAGAAATCGGCCAGAGAAGTTTTTTTTTTTTTCAGTGGAAGATATGATAAAACGCGAAAGGAAGTTTCGTAGAGTCCAAGGTCGTTTTAAGTGTCGTTATGCATGTTTAAATTTGACAAATATATACATTCGTGTAGAAAAAAAGATGTAAGTGGCCTTGAGAAAAAAGAGAGAAAAATATGACATTTTAAAAAGTTTCTCTTCCATTTTACTTTTTTACCCTTTGAAACCGTTTAAATTGCGTATAAAAATTTTCTCGTGAAACCACAGCTAGAGAGGATAATTAGGTAACCTGTTTTACGTGGTACACCCGGTATTGTGCGGATGCATGCAGCTTTGAAATGATAGAGTGTAAAAAGTACATACTCGAAGAATGAAGTAGTAATTTAAAAAGTTCTCGGTAACAACAATAAAATAGGAGGAGGGAATATATACGGTGGAGTAGGAAAAACGATGAAATCATATCTCTCTGAGTATTATCGTCCCATTTTATTCATACTCGGCGTTTCCGCTGAAAGAATATATGATCCTCTGTTCCGAGAAAATAAAAGAAAAAATACGACGTTGCATAAGTCAATATTCGATTCGATCATTGCTCGTGGAAACTGCCCTAATGATACTTCATAAAAGGCCGCGTACAATACAAGGAAAATATGCCAGAACCTGTTATCACAGTTCGTGCTACTATTATAACGGCGCGTCAGTCGGGGAATACGCGAACGTTTACTACTTGCCCCGGTCATTTTGTCATCATAGACAACTACGGTCGAACTGGCGTCTCTCCACGACTTGCAACGACTTTACGAGGATTTTTCCCTTCGCTTATACGCGTTCACCACGCAATTCACGAGCTCGAGAAAGAATCGGAGAGAATGACAAAGAGAGAGACAGGGAGTGACGAGGAGAGACAGGGAGAGACGAGGAGAGCTAGGGAGAGACAGGGAGAGCTAGGGAGAGCTAGGGAGAGACAGGGAGAGCTAGGGAGAGACAGGGAGAGACAAGGAGAGATAGAAAGAGACAAGGAGCGATAGAAGGAGATAGGGAGAGACAGGAAGTGACAGGAAGAGACAAGGAGAGATGGGGAGAGACAGGGGGAGACAGAGAAAGAGCACGTTCTTCCAATGCAATTGACGTGAAAATAATAAACCGTTTCAATGGTACCCCCTTCCGGTGCGATTACTCGCTTGAATCTCTGCAAAAGGCAGCCTGCGATTTTTTGTGTTAACTCTTTTATAAATATACAGTCGGCGATGACCTTTCTCCTTTACTCCTGACACTATCGATTCCCCGTCTCTATTTTAGATATGCTGCAAGCGCATGATTTGTGCGCATCATAGATGCGTAAAATCGCACGGCGGCTTTTCTACCGAATAGCTCGCGCTCTCACGTGCGTGCGTGTGTCTTTCTATGCGGATTAAGAGACGTGAAAAGCGAGTTTCGTGCCCGGGATAATGAAGTCATTTTGTTGCAAGTTTGAAAGTTTCCCCGGGTGGCGGGTTAGTTTAAATTAATAGTTTACACTTTGTTAGTTAGGGATGAGCTCAGGTTTTAATTACCGTATGAAGGTATCGCGGGCGAAGTGTGCGACAACTTTAGAAAAGAGGAAGGTAGCGGCAAGAGGAAAATTGTCAAATTGAATTCTAGTTTCAAGATTAATAAAATCTTCTCGTAATTTTCCACGGTAAAACCCGATACGATATTCTCAATTTCGATAAACGCTGCACCGATGAATTATCATTACCGTGAAATTCGTCGTAAATTGATATACCAGCTTCGACCCGGACGGTTGAAAATATTTCACGACTTCGAGGAAAGGACCCGTCAATGTTTACCAAACGTTTCCTGCATAATTATTCGTTTCAATTTCATTCGGCTTCTTCTAGCCCGGGGAACTAAGTCGAATCTGAAAAGAAACGCGGATGGCAAATAGAGTAGGAGCGTAATTAGACTGCAAAGTGTTGAAGCGTCGCGAGCAAAAAGTAGCGAATGGAAAAACATCCCCCTTTCATCCTGAAGGCGCGTCCTGTTTGCGATCGCCGCGGAACCGGCCCTGGGGCTCCATTAATTCTAAAAACACCATCGACTTTGCCACGCAATCGATCGGAAACTTAATATCGACAGCACGCTTCGTAACATCGTCTCTCGATCCGACCGGATACCGTGATAACTTATGCGCGAAATACTTAGGTGTCACTGCTTGAAGAAAATGCTACGGCATCGGAAAATTCCCTCGTAAGCTGGGGTAAGACTGATTCTTCGCCGTAACCGAAGAAAGTGAGCTTTAGAACCGGATTCGTTTCAATATAATCGAAAGAAACAGGTGAATTTTACAAGTAATTAATCCTAAATAAATTTCATTCTCAAACACTACAAATATTTAAAGTTTGGGATTTTTTTTCACGCATAACTATTAAATGAAAAGTTTCAATTTTTTCGGAGGATATAAATGTACCTTTCAGCTTTCGTCTCGAATTGGTGAAAGGTAAAAATGTTACAAGGTAAATTCTACCATCAACGAGGAAGTTTGCCTATAAATTGTGAATTCAATTTATACTTCGTCCAGGGGCTGGTAACGCATTAAAAATGTTCGGTACACGAAGTTTCGGGAAGCAGTAATGTATTATCAGGTGTATCGAAAGTCCTGAGAAAATAGCGGGAATCATTTAGACTCCACCCAGTTGGTTAAGAGTTAAGTATGCTGTTCCATGGGGATACGTGTGCCCATGAAATATCCCTTAGCCCATCCTTGATTTCACGGTGTATTTGAAAGTGTGTGTGTTCGAGTTACATGGGAACGTTCGTAATACGCTTGCGTAGAAAAATGAGTCACTGAACTTGAGGAGAATAGAGGAGCCAAGGCGTAACGTAAAGCTGCGTTTACGCTATCTGACACACCACGTTATACGGCGAAGTTATGAAACTTGTTCGAAAAAGAGAAAGAAAAATTTTAGATAACATTCTGTCCTTTCACTACAATTCACGCGTACAAGCTATGTTTTTAACGCATTTTCACCTTAATTTAAGTTCCGATTCTTATTCTTCACGTACTCCAACCCTAATTTTTAAAATTAAAATTTGGAACTTTTATTGTTATCGCGTAGAAAAAACGGTGCAATTTTATTTCAAAAATGGATCTATCGCGAAACGTAAGTACTAATACGACGAGTTCCTTCTGCAAAGGAAAGCTGCAGTAAGACGTCAGAAAAATAAAATCACCATTACTCTTCTACTTTCGCCAATAGCTTAATGTCATACCTCCTACGTCACCGTCTCAATCTACCGTCCTCCAGTGTACACACCTTCTACCGAGAAAAAATCTGCTTTCAGGGCATTACGATCAAGCCTCTGGTGAAGATTCTGAACGTGAAACGGGCCGAGAAGAAGAAGCCTACCATGAACGAGAGGATCCATGAACGGGTACGTAGTTTATTGTCTCCCCGCGATGAACATCTCACGGGTAGAGATCGGCCGTAACGAGCTAAGTGCAACGACGTTTTTACCCGAGGATCGATCGGCGAATAAAAAAGAAAAGGAAAAATCCTAGAGGAGATAGTGGCGAGGGGAAAAAAGGGAGAAGAAGAAGCAAAGCCGCCCCGCGCGTTGCATAAATTATGGAGGACGCGTGGTTATGCGCCCTTATCGTTCGTGAAAATATTGAAAAAGTGTAGCGAGAGCGACGATACACGGGAAAATCAATAATCGTTCGGTGTGTACGGGAAGATTGCATTGATTTTGCACCGCCGCCGCTGGCTTTCCGTAAATGAACGTGCCTGGGGGAAGAACAGTGGGCCAGGATAGAGAAAAAACCGTGTTGCTTCGCGGTTTCGCACGTTTTGCGTGTGAGAGCGTTCGTTAGGTTAACGACGGCTAATGGAAGTAATGAGCGCGAGATGATAAATCTCTGAGGAAGTTTAAGAAAAAATCGCGTCTCCGTTTTGCAGATAATTGACCACGTGATGGCCGGGATCGAGGACATTTTGGGCAAGCATGGCAATTACCACGTGAGAGACAAGTACGAATTAATTATTACTCAATTATTGGTAAATTTGGGAAAAGTAATTTTCTCCCCGTTTTTATTTTCGGGGTTTCTGAGACAAATGATGGGGATTTATTGACTTCTTCACCCCCTAGTGTGACTCATAGAATGAAATGTAGTGGGACGTAGATATGGTCCAGATCACTGCTACGCTCCACCATAAATTATCCTTCACCGTTTCACGCTTGTACTTCGTATAGTTATATAGGGTGTCCTAATTGTTTCTGATAAAACTTTGTCAGCATGTTCTATGGGTGTATGTAAGGGGAAAATGTTGCATAAACATAGGTCGTTTGAAGCTTTGTTAAAAAGTTATAATAAAAATTAGAAATACTAAGAAATGGTAACGAATTTGCGATTACTATGATACAAGACAAGAATGGTATTGGCAAAAGTTACATTCAAACACAGCTTGTACACAGCCTCGATCTACATATCTCTGATCTATTCCTATTCTACGACGTAACTTCGCTTTAATTAGCATTTCTTTCACATTTCGTACTACTGCTATAACTTTTTAAAAAAGCTTCAAACAACCCATGTTTACTTAACATTTTTCTCTTATCTATACCCAAAGAACGTACTAACAAAGTTTGATCGAAAAGAAATTGGGACACCCTATATATCATCGTGTAATTCTCGTACTATTGACAATTACTTTTTTGATTTTCCAAAGGACGCATCAAACGTTCCACGGCAGACATTTCAAATCTACCCCTTAAATTCACGTTTCACCGATTTATCATTCGCCTCTGTATGTTTCCTACTCTTGTTCTGCAGGTTCAAACGGTTCGACAACAAATTCATTCGTCCGTATCTGGTGAGGGATCACTGCGGCGCCGAGCCGAAAATATTGGAAACGTATTCGAAACTCGCGATGAAAGACGCTCTGGATTACATTAGAAGGAACGCATCCACTATTGGCAATATCAGCGGAACTGAAAGCATGTCCGCGATATTCCGCAACTATAGCAACACGGGACAGTTCAATGGAAGGTACGATTCCCTTCTTTTTTTCTTCTCCTCTTCTTCTCCCCATTCTTTCTCTCCGCCGTTCCTTTCTTCGATGTTCACCCTCCTCGCCCGATCTCTGCAGCGCACTGAATTATCTCCTTCGTACTTGACCCGCTTACTTCCACAATAAGGAACACGGAGAATGTTTCTTTGATCGCAACCGGGTGTACTGCCCACCCTCCCTCCACCCTTGACGCTCCAGCGAAAATATATATTAATTATCGGAGAAAGTTTCGCCGTGGAAAAGAAGGAATCACAGCGGAAGGAGGGATTCTTTAAAAATCGGCGTTCGGCGTTCAACGCTTTGTTTCATCTTATTCAGCCTGACGGAAAACTCAGTTTACGTATTAACCACGGTATTAATAACACACGGAGTTACTCGTTAAATGTTAAATCGCAAACGAACTAAATTTTATTCAATGTATTTGGATCGTCTCAATTCGGTGAAACGTCGAATGTAAGCAAAACGCTGCTGTTTAAGGATTTCAGCACAAAAAATTACGGAGGTGGTCCAACCCCCAAATTCCTAATTTTCAAGGACTAAACGAAAATACGTATCTATTTTATAAAAACAAAGATTATTGTTCTTCGAAGGATTAAACCACGAAAAGTTCGATTTTCTCAAATCTCAGAGGTGTTCCAACCCCCAAATTCCTAATTTTCAAGGACTGAACAAAAACACGTATCTATTTCATAGAAGAAAAAAAATTGAAATTAAACGTCTGTATCATTTCAAAAATCTGACCATCGAGAAAATGGAAAGGACACAACAGCAAATAGATTCTATCCGGTACAGTGTCCCTCTAAGATTCACGGTTTACAAGGCACAGTGGGGTGTCGATGCACCACGACTCACCCTGTATATAGATTGGCCAAGGAGCATAACGGAAGATAAGTCTGCATTGTATCCCGATTGAACGACAAACCCTCGTAGAGGCACGGTATCGATCTTGAAGTGGCAGCCCGTCATAAAATGCAGTCTCATTCTTTCTCCTTCCAGTCCAAGTTGCAGCCAGCTCGAAGCGGGCTGGAATATTGATCTCCAAGAACTGGAGTACAACCCTTCCAAGAAGGACCTGACGGACGCCAGGATCCACCATCTATTGGCCGAAGAACTTTGCAAGCCTTACAAAAGGGTAAGAAATCCTCGTCGCTCAGCACGAGATTTCATATACACACATATATACATATGAATATACATATTTATATATATATAAAAAGCACGCGCTTCGCGACCCTGAGAAGCTTGCTGACGAGAATTGTTTTCGGGGGAGAGACATCGTATCGAGAAACTTCAGCTGTCGATTTTCTATCCTCGAGGTGGAGGAGATGTAGTCTGGTTAGAAACTCGAATCTCAGAATGGAATTGAAATAAACTGATACTGCTGAGTGTTCAGGAATATCGAGAGTTACGATTTATATCATCTTTATTACGTAGAAGTAGTTAATGAAAAATATTAGAGTTAGTCATATTGGTTTGTTCAAATTTAAATAGCGAAAGCTTGGAGAAAATGAACAAATCTGCATTCCTTCGTTGCAACAAGTTTCAAGGCGTGTTACATGCACAATACAGAGTGGACCAATAAGAATTACCATTTTGAACATCTTTGTATTCATGAAAGTAAGAAAACAATTTTTGTTTTACAGATATAGTTGATTTAGAGATGTGAAGATTGACTCTGTTTTTTAACGACATGCCTTTGTTTATGTATTTGTTAATGGAAGTACGCAAAAGGTTGAAAATTAAGGGCTACATTAGGGTAAAAATGTGGCAAAAGGGCAAAGCTTGAGAAAATATTCAATCCGCCTATAGGCGCCAAGGCCACGGCGAGCAAATATATTCACAGCGCCTATAGGCGTCCAAGGACTCGGCGCGAGCAAATTTTCAAAGCGCCTAGGGCAGTGAAACGGTTAAAAGAGCAATTGAGTGAGAAGTATCAATGTAATCAACCTTCTGTAACCTTGACTGACGTGTTACAAGTCCTTGTATCCATCTCAAACACTATTATTAGCAAATAAATAAAAAAATACAGCATATCTTAAAAAAAAAAGAATATAACCTTCACATCTCTTCGGTAGCTCGATCCACATAGAAAGATCCTTAGAACCGTAAAATTGTCCCTTCTACAACAAACAATTTTCATTGAAAAAAATTTGTTCCTATTATTTTCACGATTCCACAGATCCACGATAATGGTAATTCTTGTTATTTACCACCGTCATGGATACCCTAATACATACAACGAACAGATAAAGAAACTATCTAATTCAAATTTGTTATGTAGAAGAGTGTAGAAATTATTGGAATTATTTGTTACAACAGGGAACAAAATTGTTACAGCATCGGCGGTTAAGCTACAGCCGACACGCGGTGAACGATCGTGACCTGTCTACCCAAGTCAATTACAAGATGCACATGAACATTAGGCGTATGATGGGAGAGCACAAGCATCGTCACAAGCGCAGTAAAAAATTGCTCAAAGTAAGAACCGTTTGCTATCGCGACGCGCGTGTCCATTCGTATACCGATGATTTGCAATTAAAATGGTTCGTTCGTTGGTTCGTTGTCTGGTAATCGTGCAGGACGGCAAGCAGAATCACGTGAGTTTCCCGGAGTTCCAGCAGAACGGCTCGACGAAGTTGTTCACCCAAGGTAAAATTAGGCAAAAGAATTATCGATGCTCGGCCGCGGGGCCAGGGCAAAGGCGCGCGCTCTCGTTTGAATACGTGAATTTTCATTGGTCGCAGATTACATCAACGGCGTTCTCTACGAGCTGGAGAACGGGGACACGTCAAAGCCTTCGAACAAAGATGACTGGGAGTCCGCGATAACTTTCACGGCTCGTACTTCCGGTAAGAGGATAATTCTTTTCGTTCTATTTCTCATTTTTTCCCGCTTCTTCTTCTTCTTCTCCTCTCTCCGTCGATTTGAACCGGAACTTTTCGGGTCTGTCATCAAAAAGGCGAAGTTTCGCGACGAGAATTATCTCCCGTAGAGTTACGGATTCTTTCCGAGGGAGGAGAGGAGAAATTAGTTCTCTGGGAACGATAATTCAGGCTTCTCGTTCGAGGCGTTCTTTGAATATAAGACTAAGGGAAGAAAAGGGGGGGTGTAGAGACCGTGGGCTAATTCTTAGCTCGATTCATAGTTATAATTTCTTGGCGGTCGATTTCCATAGACTCGTCGAACGTGAATGCTGAGAACCACCACGGTGCTACCACCACTACCTCAATGGACACCATAAATATCGACGATCCAGATATGAAATTGGGACGAGACGGTGAGTTGGCCGTAGTTGAGAGATCTTATCCGGTGAAATTGTTTCTATTCAAATGAAAATTCCTTTCTTTCGTCCATGGAATATTTCCTCCCGCTCTGCTCGATTTAACATTCTTTCTCACAGTGGACAGAAATTCTGAAATCTGTTTGAAGCGTCTAAATAAGGATTATTTGTCTGTAAAAATTCCAAAGGATATCTGGTACACTTCCTTTCTCTCGATCTGATACGTTTAATTGTATTATTTGTTTTGTTTCAATTATAGAGAGTTACAGGGTAACGACACCTACAGCCACAGAAACCATGCTACCGTGGAAAAGAGAGGACGATTACGACACAGGACGTCCTATTAAACAGAACGAATTTCCTGCATGGTGTTCGAACAAAGAGTACCTGGCTTACAGTTCTCCTTCGGCAACATTTTTAGGTATGATCGATTGAAACATTCGGGACAACCAAACACTTCATTTCACCGCTAACATTCATATCGAATCGATACGGAGTCGTAAGGATACGCTGATCTCGTCGGTTGACACTTTTGCAGCGGTCTAACGACGCTGCTCGAACATCGCACACTCGACACAATCGAACTTTACACTTTGTTAATCTGTAGAATGTCGAAAAAGACGATTCAAACTGTGTTTCAATTTGTAATACGCGATAAATTGAGTGAATCAAGTTTGTTCAACTTCTACTGTGAAATATAGAACAACCGTTGATTATGGTCGCTGATAAGTAAGATATTGATGGTACCTTAAATTATATTCTTTAAGAATTTGTTTAAGTACTTTTTATAATTAAATTGCCGATTAATCTTTTTCTACATTCTCGCGAACTCTGCTCAGATTGAACTCTCTTCGACGCAGCTTCCTTTCGACGGGGCTCGGGTAACTCTTCTCACATTTGGGTGATAAACTACTATCTAAACACACGAAATGATATTTTCTAAATTGTACGCGTTGTTTCAGGTATTCCCTTCCACGTTGCACGTCTATTTTTTGGCGCAAGGTCGATACGACTTTCGTAGTTTTTCTGTTAATTTTTTTAAAAAAAAAAAAAAAAAAAAAAAAAAGAACAGACGAATTGTCTGTAATTTAATTTTGGGTAATAGATGAAAAGGTACGTGAAATGTGAAAAAAGAAACGCTGCTTTACAGGAGAGCCGTATTTGTGAGGACGAGACAGCTTATCGAGCTCAGAATCAGAGGATACTAACTTCGGAGTTCCGGCTGGCGAACATGTAAATGTTATCAAATCGTTTCAGAGTTTTATGTCGTTCTTTTCGTTTTTCGGCGTACAAGCGAATGCGTTTTTTCTTCGATTTTTGGGTTACCCAGTCCCCTTGAAGCTCACAGATACATTTACGCCTTACTTATACACACAAACACACACACAGAGACACCTACCTTATCACTTGACACGATTGATTGTGCTGTTACTCCGATAAACACTTCTGTGCATTCGTTGAAATTGTCGAATCTCTTTCGTGCATACTGCAAATTTCAGACGAATGTTGAGAACACTTTTGCGTTGCTGAATTCTTCCACGAGCACTTGTGTTTCACACCTTTGTACAGTGTCGTTGGTGTCGAGGTTCTCCTGGCCACCTGAAACATCCAAACGTTGTCGGTAATTGTAATACGAAAATTCGAAGATGTGAAAATTACTTCTGAAGGTGCTGAAGCGATCGACGGGGAAAATTCGAAGAGATGAATTTTTTTAAGTGAAATTCGCGGCAAGTGTAATATAATGAACTGGCTATTTTTAAATTCAGCGTTTTTTTGAAGTTTATGCAACTAGTTCGTAACGTTCCGATATTACGTTCTATCGCAACAGGGCGAACTTAATATCCGATAATCTGGTCCGCTAGCATAACGAGCTGAAACTATTAATAATGGCGGCAGTTCGTTATCCAGAGGTCTATACATTTTTCTTCGTGTAACGTTCAATGGGAAACGAGCTAATAAACCAGACCGTATATTCAAATTTTCCCCAGACAAATAGAAAATTCCCCTCGTTCCAGATAACAGACGTGATATAATCGCGTTTAAATTGAATCGCGTTTTTCCCCACGTTCGCCGAAAAGAAGAGGAAAGAAAAACGCGGTAATAGTCGAAAGTAAATGATGTCTTTTGTACAGTTTCTCTTAATGCTCAATGCAACAAGAGATATTCCAGGTGGCCGAACCGAAACACTCCACGAATCTTCATTAACTTCATTAGTGACACTCTGTTGTAATTAAAGGTGGGATCGAGCAGCCAAAGGTCCAGTCGGTAATTGGTCTATTCCGTCGTGAAAGCGTGTGCTCCCCGGACGGTATCGATTGCCAGGAAACCATGGACGAACGTGACGAGTACACGCTCACGGGGACAGAGCTCACGGAGGATTCGCCTACGAAAACTTCCAGCAAGTGCGCAGAAGGTACGACGAAAAAGAAAAAATTTAATCGAAGTAGTAGTACTTGTTAGAAAGTGTTCGATTTTGAATTTTTATTTACGACCGAGAGGAAAAGTTACTAAAGTTAAGCTATAGGACCTCTTTCGGATTTTGTAGACCGATTTGGTGTGTAATTAATGGAAAAGAGACGAGAAGAGTCACAGATAGAAGAAACATAGTGGAAAAATGAAACATTGAAAGCGGTAATCACACTTCATTAGGAACCACCAAGTATCTCCTTGTCAGTTGTGATTTAATTGCCACTAAATATACAGTTTCATTGCAGGGCATAAACGGCCAGCAGAATTTACGACTCATCTCTTGCGTTAATTACACTTGAAACCCACTTAAGCAACTTTCAGAGTAACGATATTACCTTTCGAGATAAATCCATCTACAAATTAAACTAAAGTACTCTTACAACGATAAAAAAAAGATATAGCCTGCTTCGATAGAAAGCCAACGAACGCAGAGCTAGTGAACGTTAACGTATTCGAACTGTCGTGTATCTCTCCTAAAGACTACTCTATTGAGAAAGTTCTAGGAGAATGAAATACGATTTTTCTAATCTTCGTAGTCTTTCTCAATTGGGACATACACTCAGAAACCTGAAACAGCAATAATTTTGTGAAGTACGAAGTTATTCTAGAGCAGAACCGCTCAGCAGCCCTTCCGAGGGCAAGGGCGCTCTTTCTTGCCCCGCGGGCAAAGCCGGGAGCAGGGAGCAGAGCAAATAACGTCGACTAGCCCGCGACTTTGCCCTCAGCTTTGCCCGCGGGCATTGAAGACTGCCCTTGCCCGCCAGAAGCCCTCAGCTCTGCCCGCGGGGCATCGAAGGCTGCCCTTGCCCGCGATTTCACCCTCAGCTCTGCCCCCGGGCATCAGAGGGTGTCTTTGCTCCCCTAAAAGCCTCTTCTAGACTCTTTTCGAGCAGAACAGTAAACTAAAAAACTAAATAAACAATTTGATTATAGCAGACGGAAAGAAGGGTCCCACTAGAAGGGTGTCCATGATGGAGCTAGGCTCCATGGAGAGGTCCCAGTCGGACAGGGGCACAGAAGACGGTTCCCATTCTCTACCAGAATGCTGGAACTCCCCTCAGCGTGTCCGTATGAGCTCGTTCCCCTACTCGGCCAGGGTTCCAAGTCTGTCGACCGCCTTGATCACCTCCTCCTCGGACTCGTCGGAGGACATCGACGAGGAAGAAGAGAATGCTTGACCTTTGGGGATCGTCAAGGGGCAGACGTCCTATGCGGACATCGAGCGTCGTTTGCGTCGCCCTTGGCGGCGACCACCGCGACACTCGATACTCTCGTCGCTCCTACGACGACCAAGCGCTCCAGTCTGAACAAGGGAGAGTGTATGGCGCATTTTCTTCCCTCGCGAAGAAACGAAACCGGTCTCGCTCGTCGATCTCTACGGCTCTCCCCCCCCCGTTTTTCCAAGTCGAACACTTTCAGCGAACACACGTTTCAGGGAGGAAAAAGAGACGACTAGTTTTTGTTGGGTGTCCACTGGATGTGTTTTTAATCGACCAGAAGGGGCTCTTCTAACTGTTTCACAGGACCACGATGACGGAAAGTATCCTCGTTTTGACTAACGACGCTTTCATTTCGCACGCAGAAACAAGTGTCTCGGGGGAATTGTTCTATAAAATAGGTAGTATAGTTTCCGGAGGATGTGGAAGAGGAGGAGATATTTTCCCCGCTTAGTTGTCCGATCGTTGACCTAGCGACGACGACGACGTGTAAAGAGTTAGTCGATCGCGTGACGTAACGACGTGATTTCGACCAAGATAAACGACGACGATAATGCTGTTTTTTCGACATCGGTCGAGTCGAGGTTGCGTTCTCTTTTGATACTCGGTGAATCGTGTGAATCTTTTTTCAATATTCGACCAGAGCGATGATGACGTGAAAGAGGGAGAGAATGAACGTTTGAACGAACGAAAGATAGAGCGAGAAAGAGAGATAGCTATTTTTTTAAACCGACGCACCGTTTCCTCCGACGCACGACTGATTATCAACACACACACACACACACACACACACACATGGTACACGCATATTGTACACACGCAATTACACACCGGATAGACCGGAGGAACGAGATTCTTCGTTTTTCTTTTTCTAGTTGATTTTTCAAATGCTTCCTGTTGAAGATACCACGGATCGTCCAATTTTCGGGGGATGTTTTCAGATCACACCGGGGATAGGGTGGGGATTGAAGAACGCGTGAACTTTCTGCGTGCTGAGAAAGATCGAGATGAGGGAACGCGAACGCGCTCGCGCGACATTTTTTTCCTAGACGCGATGCCCCGCGTTTCCCTTGCCCGACGACTTTGTTTTACGATCGCTCATTAACTTGGTATCGTGGCCTTAAGATTCCTAGATTGTATCCTAGACTGTGCAACTCTGGACCTTCCACAGTGCATTCTAAAAAAAGAAAAAAGAGACGAAGGAAAATATGACGAGGTAGGAAGGTAGCGAGACTTTTTCCGATAGAACTCGAATGAAACTTGAGGACCTGATATGCGTTGCGTTTAAAAGTTAATTAAGTAGACGTGTACGCACGGTGATTTTCCTTTTTTCGTTTCGATCTTCTCGTGACACCACACGTGATATATAGCCTTTCGAGAGAGAGAGAGAGAGAGAGAGAGAAAGAAGGGATACGTGTGTGTGTGTACACAGGGTGAACCGAAATGGCTGATACAATCGGGCAGAGGATGATTCTTAGCTAGAAAAGAGAATCGTACGAGTTTTCACACGATTGAAGCGTTAGAATTTTTGTGCATCTGTGATGACGTCACTTTGAAGAATTCGTTCAGTAATCTAAATTGAAATTTAAAAAAATCGTTAATAAATATATTATCGATACTTATCGTGGCATTGTAACAAGCATAATTAAAGGCCAAGAGACAGTTAAATGCACGTGTACTCTTGAATATTTAAATTCAATTTTCTCGAAAATTAAGGTTCATACGAAAAAATATTATTCTTTGTTTTTGGTTTACTTTTACGTGTAGAATCATCCTCTGCTTGGTTCTACCACCCATCTCGGTCCACTCTGTGTATATACACACGTATAATGCAGTTTAATACTCGATGCGCGACGTTGAGATCATCGCGCTATTCGCATTCGAGTTTATAGAAGCGAGTCTAGATTTAGACACGTGGCGTACCGTGTATACACGCGTGCACGGTGAAATGGGGACAACTGACTACTCTAATTGCCAATCGGGGATGCGGAAATCTTGTCGAGAAGGAAACGGAGCAATTTGGATCATTGATCCTACGCGACTAATTGGGAATTCAAAGATTTCAGATTACTTAGATACTCTACTCAGGAATTTCATTTTTACCTTCTACTTTAAATTCAACGTTTTCCAACCATTTATCATTTATTCTTTTCAGCAATTTATTTTTCATCTTAGGTAGGAGAACTTTTCTCAATAAGATTTCTGCATCGAGGACAACGATATCCCCTCTAAAATTACTCACCCTGTTCTCACTTCGAATTTCTGCAGCGATTCTTGCGAATTTTTCCTACTGTAAAAAGAGATAACGCTACATTCAACGCAGAAAACATTGAAAGAGATCTTTAGAAACGATCGTTTAGCTTTACCTCGGGGAAAACTTTCTCTCTGTCCAATTCCCTCCTTGAAGAAAGCTCTCGAGACGTGAAAAATTCCTCGAGCGACACTGTCGAAGAATCGCCGCAGCCAAGAAATTCGCGTGAACTACAGAATCGTCCAAGAGAAGGATCTTTGATACCGAAAGAACAATAACAACAGGGGAAAAAAAGAGAAACAGAATTACCTGTTCGATAAATGCCGGAAGAATCCGAGCATACGTTCAGAAATATCACTATAACGATCGTCGAAATCTTTTTTCCACGGTGATAAGACACACGGAAGCTGTTTAAACACGAAACGCTCTCCTCTCCTTAAGTATGGCCTTAAAAAAATGAAACAAAATAATAATAACTAACTAAATAAATAAATAACTAAATAAGAGTCTCAAGTAGAGAAAAAGAACAGACAAAGCAGCCGCGGAAAGTGTCGTAGATCCAGTACCTAACGCGATGATTAAACACACCGATTATGTACATACGTAAAGAGACAAAAAAAAAAAACAAAAAAAAAACAAATATACACGCAAAAGGAAAAATGAAGGAAAGAAAGCCAAAAAAAAAAAAAAAAAAAATAACGAAAATACCATTTCTTAGCGAGACAACGTAGCAAGTTAATCGCGACGACTAAAATTAACTACGATCATTTGTCAGGATGCGAAACGGGCAAAAGGAACACGTTTGTGGCATGTCGAAGTGTGCAAACTATAAAACGGGAGCTGCCAAGGGAAACGATAGAGACGTTCGTTATTTACATAATTCAGCGACATTAACGCAGGCCGTTTTCAGTGTACAAAAAAGAAACGTGTTAATAAGGAAGTTATATTTTCTACTGATTAACATTTCCATATTGTGTTGTTTCTTTTTCCTTCTTTTTTTTTTTTTTTCTCTGTCGGATCGATTAACAATCCTAACGGCGCTCGCGTTGATTAAAGTGCTTACGGAATTGAACGAAACACCGATTCGTCACCCTTCGATCGTTTTAGGACTATCGGCGACACGATGAAAATGGTCGAAAATACGATTGTCGAGGAAAAGTTGTAACGATTAGGGATCGTAATTGTTACGATATATTTCATTCATTTGGTACAGCGTATGAATACGTAGTTACGTCAAAGGTTTCAGGTATGTTAATACGAGAAGAAGAAACCAGATATCGTTGAAATCGAGTAACATTTCATTTTTAAACGTTTGTCGATAATTTTATTGTAAAAAAATCAATTATATATATATATATTTAGCTGTTTTAAATTCGAGGTATACACAGAGTGGGCTACTTTTGTAAGTAATTTAAATGGTACCAAATGGTGAATAAAGTGGAAACAAAATTTTTTCGATGGAAAAATTGGGGAAAAGTGGAAAGATGTTTCGCATTTGATTTTAAATATTATTATACAGGTTTAAATGCACGTTCGTGCCTGCTGCAATATATAGTAGAAGAAATGTATACATTTGTGTAAAAAAATATGTGACTTTGAAAAAAATTAGAAAAAAATTTTTCTTCCATATTATTCACCCTCTGAAACCATTTAAATTACGTAGAAAAATTTTCTGGTACCGCTATACCTAGAGAAGACACTCAGACGGCCTGTTTCAAACAAGTTAATTTAATCATCCCTAATACATACTGCACTAAAGATTTGCATTATTGTAATAATTAATTCTGCATCTTAACTTGACTTCCAGAGATAAGTTTTATCAATCGGAAGCCTCGTTAAGCTTATATACAGTATATGGAGTCTTTTAAAGTTAGAAATATATTTCTGTATAAAAAGATTTATCGGACTAGCAGAAAATTCAGAAACACTCTTCACTCGAACGTACAAACTCTCTTCTGAAAGAGAGAGAAGAAAGGAAGAAGACAAATGCACCGTTCTAATTTCCAAGCTTCGAGTAAGCTACGCTTGTCGAACGAAAAGATCACACATTGCGCTACACAAAGTTCCTCATTACAGAAATTCAACGAGAGTAACCAAGTTTCCAAGTCCACTTCTAAATAAAGTAAAATAAAAAAAAGAAATGTGACAAATATATTTTCGACCAAAGCTGCGATTAAACGCGATAAACGCGGAGTTCTTGTCAATTAGAAGAGTATGTAATACGTTCGTTAGGATTTCCTTTTAGGCTCGTTGTTTAGGGAGCATTTTTTCACGCACATCTCGCTTGAAACAATACTTGCTTGATGCCAAAAGGGTGGCGGGAGGGGAGTGGGATTCAATTTTCGTAAAAATCGCCAACGAGTTTGAAATTTCCCTTCGCGCGATATATTCCTGGCGGCCTCTAGTTACCTAGGTCGGACGAAAATGTCGGACTAGTCTCTAGACGCTAGTCTTTACGCTGTTGATTTGTTAAAATAAATGTTTATTTCATAAAAAAAAAAAAAGAAAAACGAAGACTTATTTTCTCTGATTACCTTTGGTAAACATTTCCAGTTGTTCCGTTTGTCACGATCCATCTTCCTCGATCCTCGTCGTTCTCCAATTAAATCGTCCACCGACGATAATATCGGTCTGACGATAATATGTTATCTTAAGATGCTTAATCACCGATCTGCAAAACAAGAGAAACTTTCGACAAATTGATCAACTCTTCGCTTATACTAAAAAGAAGCAATTTTTACGAAATATTTTCCCAACTCTTTGCAACGCTTCTACGATCTTTCTCCCCTTCGGAGCAATTTGCAGAAAGAACGACGCGGACGTAAATTTCACGAGTGATCTGGCGACGCGAGGATCGAGAAACGCGAGTTACGAAATGCAGAGAGAGAGAGAATTAAAAAAACCGTAGAAGACTGGCGGTGAAGAAGAAACGAGCCTCGACTGGCTCGAACACGAGCGTCACGCTAATTGAAACAGGAGTAATAAAAACAATTAGCGATTCGTTAATGAGAATGATATGCTTCTGGGATCGTTTCGAAATCGAACGGATGAGGCAGAAAGACAGGGAACCTCGGGAAAGTGTGACCGCATACTGAACGAATTGTCTTTGTCGCGGCTGTTACAATGTCCGGCGGTGTCGTATTTTTAGTTTGCATACCTACGTTCAATCACGAGCACGAGTTGATCTTCGGCGAGCCCTTGAAACGAGCCAAGAAGAACGAGAAGCAAGGGAAATCGGTGATCGGGCCGAAAGTCGATTTACGTCTCAGGGAAACGAGGACGAGAACTCAGCTTCTGAGGCTGAACGACGACGACGAGCTGAACGATGTCGATGTCAACGACGATTCGAGAGGCAGGAGGTATCTTCACGGTCGAGGACGCGGCATTTCCGGTCAACGGGACAGAAACCCGGTGTTTGTGTCGATGGAAACGGTATCGTTACTCTCCACTTTTGCCAGGAAACGTTCGTTCGACCGTTTCGCTGCTTTCCGCGACCTATAGGCGGTTCGAATATTTTCTCGCGCTGTGACCTTGGCGCCTATAGGCGGTTTGAATATTTTCTCTGCTCTTGGCGTCTTTTGGCACATTTTCAGTCTTAATTCAAGCCTTGATTGTCGTTCTTTGCACGCTTCTACCTGAATTTTTAAAAGGATACATTTTCAAATTGAAATTTGGAATTTTAATATCGAAATTTTTCATTTCCAAAACACTTCCTCTATGCGAACGATCGATTTTTTGGTTGTACATCTATGTACATACTTTCCCCTTTTTGATTTATTTTGCCATCGTTGCATAAGGTCTTAGAGGAATTGCTGAAGAAGCTGAAGGTGGAACACGTGGTCTGGTACAAGGACAGGAAAAACATGTATTATGAGGTAAGAAATTCACTTTAATTACCTCGATTCCTCGTCACTCTTTATTCCATCCCTCTGGAAAGGTAATATTTCCGGTACCAGCTGGGGAACCATGCGAAAATTGCCTGCACTGTCTCACGGAAATGGGAATCGGCGTGAAAATGAACTCCATAGTAAGGTGAATTAATGCCTCGGGTATTTCCTCTCCACCGAGTATTTCCAAATGTTTTTCGGTTACCTTTAAACTATTTTCAGCGTAATTCCGACTCAGTGCACGTACAGTGGCGTGGGGAACGTTGGATCCAAGGCCATCAAGGATGATATTGCACGAAGGTCTCTGTTACAAAAGAAGTTTCGTTAATCAACGAAATTTAAAGATAACGCAAATATTGGTAATTCGTTTCTAGACGAAAAGAGTCAGAGGACAGGAAAAATGCTTGGAGAGGGTTCGTGGAATCGATACGATCTAAATTAACGGTGAAACAGGTCGTCGATGGTGTTCGTAGCGGAGGTGATCTTACATTCGACTATGTGGCACTGGTATTAACTGCAGAGTAAGAATAATCATATTTAACAATATCGATCTCGACTCTTCGTGTGTTCTTTTCGGTACAATAAACGGTGAAAGAATTAGCAACATAGAATTTACATCTAATTTAACTCTTGTTGATCATAATTCGATCATTTTTCATAGTTGTCTGGCAGCACTGGGTCTTATCGAGAACAGTGCAACCAATGTCGTAGCCGCTATGTTAGTGTCTCCTTTAATGGTATGTGTCTTGTAGCTCAACAAACTCAAAAGCACATACATGAAATTTTGAACTTTGAACTACTAATTAGTCTTTCATTCCTTTTCTTTTTCTAATACGATTAAGGGTCCGGTGATGTCGTTAACGTTTGGAACAATCATAGCCGACAGAAATCTTCAGTTTATCGGTTTAAAGAGTTTGCTACTCGGAATATTCGTCTCTATACTATTCGGCTTTATCTTCGGTCTAATTCTGGGTACCACAGAGATGCCTTGGGGTTACAACGACTGGCCAACCGATGAAATGAAAGGCAGGTAAGTTTTCACAGCGAAATAAAACTGTAAACAATTTGAAAAAACCTGAGTGACCGAAAGGGGAATCGAACTCGGGACCTCCCGATTACCAAGCTGGAACTCCTCGCACTACGCCAACGCACCCCTCCGTATTTTTTTCCTTCTTGCTCCTATAGATATGATCGAACTATGACAAAAAGGATTCGTATTATTTAATGAAATTTTCTTGCAGAGGCAACTATAGGTCCCTCTGGATGGGCGTATTATGGGCGTTACCATCAGGTACAGGCGTAGCCGTTGCTTTGTTGCAAGGAAGCAACGGTCCGTTAATCGGAGTTGCTATATCAGCTTCTTTACTGCCACCGGTAGTAAATTGCGTGAGTAAAAGAAAAGAAAAAATGAATAAAATCATTCTCGAAATCGTAAATACAGAGAACGAGGGGAGAAAAATAAAAATAGTCCAGCCAGATGATGTCGAGAATTTACGGGTTTTTCCTCCGTTGGTCGGTTTATTCAGCAATTGAGATCGAAAATACATTTCTATAGAATTCTCGGGAAACATTGAAATTGGCCGGCTATCGACACCGGACAGACAGAACAATTCGCGGAGAGGGAAGATAGATACGGAAGAACTATCGGCATTAGAACATCCTTTCTCGTTCCATCGGGGTTGATTAATGGACGGCAGTTAATCTGGCCGTGGCAATCGATGAAATTTATTCCCGCAGGGTTTATTCTGGGCTCTCGGATGTATATGGCTAATTTATCGACCGATTAAAATGCCTCACATGAAGGGAGAGTCCTACACCGACTACAACACCTCGTACGTTTACGTGTACACCGATTACCTGCCGGTCGAGTTCTTCTGCAACGGCATAATCAGCGCGTGCCTAACCTTTATTAATGTAATGTGCATCTTTATCACGGCGATCATCGTGTTGAAGGTGAGGAAGGCCGTGAAGCAGCGCGGGCAAGAAATTATCAACAAGTACAGAAATCGCCTGCTGCACGTGATTCGCAATTTTCGCGATTATTTCAGATAATGTTAATACCGTTATCGCGTGATACGTAACTTAGCTATAATGCTAGAGTGAGAATGTCTAATATCTAGAAATCTGCATCTGCTAATTGATCTACAGAAGAAGAAGAAAACATGTCGAGAACAATTTTTTTTTGCTTTTTTCTTAGGAAACGTTACAATTTTCTTTTCTTTTTTTTTGTTTCCATTTGGAAAAAAAAATTCTCGATTTTATTAACTGCATTTAAACGGAACCATATGGATTTTAATACCTAAACACTTGAATGAACAAGTAGACATGCAATCTTTTCTGTAACTAACACCGTGGTTTCCGTCTAGATAAAGGAAGTAGCTGCACCGTATACATCAACACCAGAATTACGCCGCTTCTGGGAACACGATATTCGCCTGGTCCGCGATAAGAATATTTCACGAGATAACAGCTCCCTAGACTCAAGGTAACTGAAATATTTCACGTTATAATCACTGCAAAATAACTCCTCCGTTACTGTACAAAAAGTATATTATTTTCTATGATAATTATATTGAAGTTTCCTATTACTTAATACAAAACAAAAAAAAACTACTTTCGTCAGTTTCTACGACGGGCTGAGCAAAACAAAACAACGCACGCTGGAACAAACGTTAAACGAGGCTGTACGTGAAGCCATAGACGACGAAACATTTCGGAAGGTACAAAGGTTGAGTTACGGCCCACACGGTCCAGAGGAGGTATTTGAAATCCTTTTAAATCTTATAATTCGTAACAATATTACACAAATAGTCTGTAACAATGTACATATGCTAAAGAATATATCAGAAAAATTTCTATCGAATATCATTTGTACAGTTCACATCGAAGCTCGGTCTTCATACTAGCGGCGGTGTAAACAACGTTACAAATATTGAACAGAAAGGACAGGCTACGTCCAATGGTTTAGTAAATTCTGGAAGCACGAGCGAAGATTTGGCCGCTCTTGATCGATTGATTACGTGTCTTTTGCAACAACCGAACAACGCCACCTCCGGTCGTTTAGATTCCTGGAGTCGATCCCGTCGAGCAAGTGCACGCGGGTACAGGCAATTACACAGCACAGGTATCACTGCGGAAGGTGGTGAGGTTAGCTGTAACATCGATACAACGCCGCTTTAATTGCATATTTACATAATTTCCAATTGAGGTACATTCGTTAAATTGGCTGATGCGTGTTTAGGTAACGATCGATCGATATAAATGCCACATTCCCGATTCTAACACAAATTTTATTAAAGACATGTAGTATTGGAAATTCTCGCCGCTACCTGCGCAGCCGTAAGGGACAACGGGCAACAAAAACGAGACGCGAATCAGAGACACTTTTCCGAGGGGCCTCGGGCCTCGCGTCAATTATATTCGGGAAAAATTGAAAATGGGAGGTGTGTATGTACTAGGGTTGACGGGCAATTGGCGACGAACATGACCAAATACGGTCATGGAGCGAGTGTGAAAGTTGTGTGTAGTGGGAGGAAGTAAAAAAAAAAAAGGAAGGATAAACTGAGTATAAATAGAGAGGGTGGCGAATGGAAAAGATTGTTGTCATGGTTGTCGACGTCGTTGTATAAAGAGTGTCTCGTAAAGAGTCGTCGAGCTTGTATATCGTGTTAGGTCATTCATATTAATTTTATTCATCTACTGTAATAACTGTTATTCACATTAAATATATTTATAAACTATTTTATGAAAAAAAAAAAGAAATCAACCTTTAAAGATACCACAGATAAATGAGATTATTGAATTTGAATTGTAGCAAATTAAGTTAATATAGTAATCATGTGTATACAAAGATTAGTCCTCGATCGAAGATGGCTCGGTTCCAAAGTATCGGTCCCCGAAGTTACCAATGCCGGGTAGCACGTAGAACTTCTCGTTTATTACAGGATCTAAGGCGGACGTTACAATTTTTACACGTGGAAACGCGTAAGCAATCGAGTGTACACCGGATTCTGCCATAAGTAAAGATGCAAGTAACACGTTCTCTTCTGCAACGTCATGATCCAATAAAACTCTGATAGCCATAATAGCAGCAGCGCCTGTTGCTACTGTCGCATCCATCAGTATCACTTTGTAGTCCTTAATATCCTTTGGTAGTCGGAGGTAGTAAAGCTGAATGAAGTAATTTTTATCACTATTCAAATCTGACTACACATGGACGATTATAAAAGGGAATTTACCTCTGGTTCTCCAGTCTGTTGATTTGTTTGTATGAGTATCTTTCCTATTCTTATATCTTTACATACGTCCCTAACAGCTTGTTCCATAGTTTCACCAGCACGTAAAATAGAGACACCACATATTTTATCCGTACCTGCACGTTTTCCGTGGTACAGTACCCCTTGAGGCGTCTCTACTGTTACATCCTTTAAATACGTAACGATACACATTAACGACGACGTGAAAATGCTACATGTTGATCACATTTCGTTGATAGAATGTATTAATATTTACCTCAAAAGGCAAAAGGGATAACGCGTACTCAATAACTAGCCGTATTAAACGTTTGGAATAAAATATAAATTCATCTCTATATGTTTCTTTGTTCCTTATGAATGTGTGGAGACCCTTAATCTGTGGTGTATCTGGAAGCAGGTAGAGAGAAGATGGCAATGGCTGACCAATATATGAATGAGCTAATTTTTCTCTGAGTTTGAAACCTCTCTAAAATAGAAAGTAATAATGCAATAAATAAATGCAACAAACAAAAGTAATTCTTGAGCTATCTGTGATCTTACCAGTTGCAACTGGGTATGTACATGCTGCACAATGAGTTCTATCGCGATTTCGTTCTCTCCACCACGTGGCACGATAATATCCGCGTGGACCATTAATGGAGCTATGTAATAATAGAAAGCAGGTTGTACTGTAGTGCAGTACTGCTTTAATACACCATCCAAATCTCTTCCCCTTTGCGATATATCTCTACGTAATCTTCGAGCAAGCCTCACATCAGCGTCAGCATCAACAAACACCTTCATATCGCACATCTTGACCAATCGAAGAAAGCAGGTCAGTGGTAAGTTGTTTTTTGCATTAGTACATTACTGCATTTGTCAACTTCACTCATCCTGTTTTCCTGATAGTTTGGCTTACCTTCAAAACATCAGCATTGTAGAAAGTAAATATTCCCTCAAATATAATCACATTGGCACCATACATTGTTTTCTTCAAAGGAAAAAGGAACACAATGTATGCGGAATACGTTTAATATTTATAAATTAGTGCTGTCAACATCAACTTACAGTTCTAGTTTCTCTACTATGTGTTACAAAATTGTAAATAGGAACTTCCACCATTCTACCTTCCTTTAAACGCTGTAACGTTGTTTTAAGTAACTCAAAGTCAAATGCGTCAGGATGGTCGAAATTGTACTCATTATGTGCTGCCATTTCATGTTGTTTTTCATTTAATGCCTGTACCAAAAATTATACCGTCTATTATGTGATTAAATTCGTTTTCAGTACCTGTATAGGTGAAAAGAAACTTTTTCATACTTTGTAAAATGAATCCAAACTAAGCAATGTTACCCAGGGCACATCTAAAGATTCTATAATTTTTGTTGCAACTGTAGTTTTACCAGATGCACTGCCCCCACAAATACCTAAAACAGAAATATTTGTAACATTAAATCCTTTAAAATGGCAAATAAATATTTCCCACAATTACTAACCAATTACAAAAGGTTCTACTTGTTGCCCAGCTGAATTGTACCATGGTGGTCTACCAGCTGTGTATATTGTTCTTGTCTTGCTTCTAAGGATAGACTCTGCGGAAGTCTTTTTACTAGATTGAGATAAACTGGTAGTACGTTGCCTTCTTGACCTTGGTGATCTCTGAGAACCTGTTATATAATCAGAAATAAATTTTTGCTTAATGTTAGAACTTATAAAAGATATACTACATATTTATTAAATTAAGAGGAAAAATAAAACAAAAATTGACAAATGGTAGGGTAAAGGATAAAGGATAATGGTACTTTTAGAAGTTTTAATTGATTTCTTCAAATTGTACAAGGCTTTTACTTCAGTAATCCAAGTACACCTTGCATGCCAAACACATGTGCTCCAAATCACTGGCTCTGAAAATAATTAGTATACCATCTATTTAACCATTGAAATAGACAACAAATAAATATCAAGTAGTGTGAGGAAAGGAACAGTATGAACACGATATAGTGTCTATAAAATTTGCACTGTCAGATCATTTTAAAGGTGTGTAGAAAGAAATTCGTTGATAACCTCACCCGTGGATGGTGGTCGCGGTGATTGCGGTGTAGGTGTCCCGATATCAGAACGTCTATAATGTTCAGCATCTTCGCACATCTCGTTGACGAGGAAAACTTCTTTCTCGTCCAAACAAATTTCTCCATCGTCACTAAATTACGAAGAATTTAAAGTACGTTTCGTTCAACAAACGAAATCAATGATGAAACATTATCATTTACCTGTCGGAACTTGCTGAACTTGGTGGATCGAAATGCTGCATCTTAGCTGCCATATTCCAAATCACATGTAGAAAAAATTGACAAGGAACCACACAGAAATAACTTTTACTGCGCAGCAGTATGTTACACTAACTCATGCCACCAAATCCGCTTGTTAAAAACTGCAAAGGAAAATGACGTCAACATCCTGAGTGTAATCGCCACCTATCGTTTGTGTTCTGAACCACTCTTTTCCTGCACTGTTAGTCATGGATATTCCAATACATCCTTTTTAATTTAATTCAATACGATTATGATTATTTCAAGAATTAGAAAATTAATCGAAATTTATAAAAATTCTAAGTTTAGAACAATTTCGATACAGTTTGAAGCTATTGTGTGTGTATATATATAATAACTTTTGACATATTGAACTCATTACTACCCCTCGCGATTATGCTTACAGATGGATTAAACGCATACGAAGCATACGTACATGATCCGTGAACACAACTTTGCGTCGCACTTGCATGTTAAGCAAATGTACAGAAGATCTAGTGAAACATTGTAATTATTAATAATACATTTTATACACTCTTAATACATAAGTGGCTCGAGAGTATTTATAAAAATTATCTCCTTGTTAAATAAATTACGTTACTAATGACAATAATTAGTTTAAATGTAAAAACATATATTGCATCGTAGCGTGTCGGTGTCTTATTTCGATACGTATCGATGCAAAATAAACGGAATATAATTGTACATAAAAATCAGTAGCACAAAATCGATAAAATAAGCAATAATTTTATACTTGTCTTTTGTATAGTATCCGGATAATTTAAAGTTATTCTTGCAGTGGTGGTGACCTCCCGTGGTAGATGGAATATTTGCAGTTGAACCCGGCATAGTTTTACAATTGCCGCTAATTACGATGAAGAAATGGTCGTACTAAGAATTGTTATTTAGTTAATATCAGAACTCATTCAGTCTTGTGGTTGAACGCAAAGTGCAAAGTTACCCCGATGCTTCTGCGTGCTGCTGTGTTGTGTGACGTATTGTCTTTTAATAGTCAGCCCCTGTGACCGGTTTTTCCGTCGTTAACGAAGCACCGTTGTACATCGAGTCGCGCCCTCATCCGACCTTGAAACCTATAATCGTTCATAGCATTCGATGTTTGAAACATCGTCTGGAAAACTGTTCATCGTGCTCTACAGGTTCAACTCTTTTTTGTTTTCTTCGGCGCCTCGTTAACGCGGAGCAACAGTGAAATGGCGAAAAAGACGTACGATCTATTGTTCAAGTTACTGCTCATCGGTGATTCGGGAGTCGGCAAAACCTGTATATTGTTTAGATTTTCGGATGATGCTTTTTCAACGACATTTATTTCTACCATAGGTAAGAAAAACAAAGTATCATTATTTGCGATATCAATGCATTTCATGAATCAAGCCATTTGTCAATGCAAATTTCTTTTGGCATAGTAGGTTATGCTATCAAGAGCAAATTCTAACATGGTAAAGTGAAAATACTTAAATTACAGCTTGATGGACAATAGATAGTTGAATATCGAAGTGTTTATTATATTGAACATGTATCGAATGCGCAACTAGGGTACAATTGTTTTCCTAACACAATTTCTTGACAACATTGTTACCATACTGATAAATTAATAAATGTTAATGTACCGTGAAGTGTGTTATATAAACAAACAAATTATGCGTTTTGTCACTTAGGTATCGATTTTAAAATCAAGACAGTGGAATTAAGAGGAAAAAAGATCAAGTTACAGATATGGTAAGTTACTGAATATAAAATTTTTCTAAACAGCCCTTAATCTATACATTTACAGGGATACAGCTGGTCAAGAAAGATTTCATACCATTACTACATCATATTACAGAGGTGCAATGGGTATTATGCTTGTTTATGACATTACTAATGAAAAAACATTTGAAAATATTGTTAAATGGTTGAGAAATATTGATGAAGTAAGTATAATTATGGATTTTTTTTATGGTATATAAGTAAAAAAGTTAGTACTCATTTATTTTAATGTCAATTAATCGTAGCATGCAAATGAAGATGTGGAAAAAATGATATTAGGGAACAAAAGTGATATGGATGATAAACGTGTTGTTAGCACAGAAAGAGGAGAAGCGGTAAAATAGCTACAGTTTAAATTGCATTAACTTTATAAATATCACAAACTAATAAATTAATATCCCCTTTAGATAGCAAGAGAGCATGGAATCAGATTTATGGAAACTTCTGCAAAGGCAGACATTAATATCGATCGTGCATTTAGTGAATTAGCTGAAGCAATTCTGGAAAAAACTCATGGAAAAGAACCACAAGATGCTCCTGATAGAGTAACAGTTGATCGAAGGGTGGAAAGAAATTCTAATCGGTGCTGCTAATTTTATATTATTTATTTTAACGGCGCATAATATACTATATATCAGCTCGTGCCACTCAAAATAGATTTGTGGATAGATTTAGAGCATAATTTACAGCATAATAGTATAATTAAACTCTTCACAACACTGCCTAATCAAATTCGATTGAACTTATCTGATCACAGTTCTGATAAAAGAATATTTAAATTTAATTCAAAATATAACAGAAATAACTCCGATTTGAAAGTGAAGCTTTTTAATTATACCTGGGTTTCAAAGGGTGGGTTATAAATGCTGTTTGTCACATATATGACTGTACTTATAAATGTGTCTATTGCATGTATACAAGCATTAAAGCTGCATCACAGTTTTTGTAATGAACATGAGGAGTCAGTAATATTTACTGTTGATGGAGCTCTATTTTCCATGTGAAACTTCATGCGTTGTTGCACGAACAAAGTCAACTAGGAACGATTTGTTTGTTATGAGGCTGCAATTTGTTACCATAATGAGAAGAGTGAGAATGAATGTGGGCTTTTAATCTTTAAAAACTATGCGAACATTGAATGCTTTTTCGTACGGACATTGCACTACATATGCTTATTTACATCTTAAGTTAAAATCTAAAAAGCTTAAGACCAAGAGCTTTTATCCTATTTGTGTAAGAATAATTTACTACAAATATAAACATTCACAATTTCGATAAATAAAAATTATAATAATAGATATTCAACAAAAAATGGTTTTGTATTTAATACATGAATTAAAAATATCTTCGTGTTTTTATTATAATCCTTATGTACAATTTATGAACAGGAAAATAAAAAGGAATTTGTGTTTTGTCTTACATCACAATACATGAATCAAAACATATATTTGTATAACAACAATAAAAGTAAATTAATACTTTCGAATATTTCTTTTATTACGTAAATATGAACAAATTACATCTACTTTCTAATCACACCTAATGAGTAAATATATGTATACATTATAAAGATAATCTGAAATTGCAATAATATTTAGAAGTAATAATACTATATCTAATACATAGACATTAATATTATTAAAATTTAGTTCATATTACATGTATCAACATTTGAATCAATTGTTTGTTGGATATATAGAATTTCTTTGCGTTATGACATAGTTCAAAAAAACTTTTATCAAATTATTTTATTAAGGAAATGCAACGAAAACGAAAATAATACTTTCTTATTTAAAAAAAATGAGTTAATGAAAAACAAATAGATGTAAATTATGACACGCTTTATATTTTTAACAGTGTTAATAATTGCTTCACATTCTTGAATGAGCATAGGTAGTATGTGGTTTAACTTACAAGACTAGAAGTCGAATTTTAAAATAATACAATTTCAGTGTCTTCTCTGTGATAGTTATACTTTGGAAATTGTGTAAAAGCTATTATTTCATAGAAATTAATACTTCTTTGCCAAAACCTTCTTCTATATACCTTTCATCGTTTTTCTGTAATGTCCTCTCCATATCCAAAGCAGAGAGAGTTAAAACAGAACAATATATTAAAGCATTATGCATTGAAGATTAATCCAGCAAACTTAGTTACCTCGTGAACTACCGAGTATTGCTAAAATATGGAGGAAGATGTTAATAATATCTACATAAAGATTTAACGTTGCGAAAATATACTCTTCCGGAGAAATTTGATATTTGTGTCCACCTCCCATTAACATTTGTGTATCGTATACCAAGTAAACAGAGAAAAGCAAGGCTCCAATTGATGAATATACTATGGTCATAGTCCTGCCTTGCCATATCATTGCAACTATTCCAAAAATTATGAAAATAAACAATGCAACAAATAGAATACCGTTCAAAGCAGTAAAATCATATTTTGTTTGGAATGAAAACAATGTTAATGCAAGGCATACAGCTGCTGTGATTCCTACGGCCAATAATACCTGTAAGTATGTAATAAAAAAGTTATTATTTAACAGTTACTACAGTACATAATTAAAAAACTATGTCATAATGATTAGTTTATGAAAAGTCATAAATCTGTACGTTTTCATCTTACCTCTTCAGACTTGTACAAAGAAGAAATAGTACCTAATAGGAAACTTTCTGCAATTGTGAATATGAACAAAAACACAAAATTCATGGGAGTCTTTCGCCTCACAGTGGTACAACAAACCATACATATGGTCAAAACAATTATTAGTGCAATACAAATCCAAAGCATTTCTGGATGCACCATCACCCACTTACGAGTGGGTTGGTGATAAAGAAACAGTGCTATCATTGACACTGTGATCAAAAGTTGGCACATTAATATACTGTACACTTTCCTGAAAAAGGACAACAGTTATAGTTGGACAAATGTAATAAAGTATTATTAATTATAACACAAACCTGATGAATCCATTTCTAATAGATTTCTCACTGAAGTCAAATCTCTTGACTTCAGGTTGTGCATGGTCTTCTGAATAAGTTGATCCAAACATGCCTGGTTGTGGGATTGTGCCAAATGATGGGCCAGTGGGAGGAACTTGTCCGTAAGGAGGTACACCTGGAGGAACAAAACCAGGACCTATAAAACAATAAAACATAATTATATGTATAATGTAAAAAGTGAAATGTTAGAATAAAAAACACAAATAATTAACTAACCTGGTGGCTGTGCTCCGTAAGGAGGTGGATATTCTGGATTATATGGGTCTTGAGGTGGATATCCAGGTTTTTGTGTAGGAAAACCTGCACAATCCAATTACAAATACATAAAACATTACAGTACAATATAATATTTATAAAATTTAGTGCTCTATTAACAGTCACTAAATGTTGGTGCACGATTCTTTTTAAATGTTTTTCTTTCTTTTTTAATTTGAAATTTATTTTTCAAATAAATCATTCAATATTTTTAAATTATACTGAAATAATATTAACTCCTTTCTACATATATCCTGAGTGTCTCACCAATTTTGTCCACCTCAAATGTCTCCATTATTTCAAGAAATAAGCAAAAACATTACTTACAAAAATTGTTTAATTGAAAGAAAAACATAACATGGTGACAATAATTTCTCTATGGGTAGAGGAGATCTGGTAGTTAATGTTGTTTTTTTCACTATTCTATCTCAGAATTCACTATTTTATCTAATTTGATCATGTGGATTACCTATACACCTCTACTTGTAAAGAAATAATTGCCACCACGTTGTGTGTTTCTTACAACCACACAACTCTTGTTAGTAATGTTTTCACTCATTACTTGAAACAATGGAGGTACTTGAGGTGGACAAAGTTGGTGGGACACCCTGCATATATGAAAATATTATCACTTTCTTAGTAACTTCTAGTGTTGATAGATTGTTATTAATCAGTAGATACTTTTGTAGATAACTTTGAGTGATGGTTATCACCACTTGAAACAAGCATCACGGTGCTTGCTGTTTGCTAAATACTCTGTTGCATGTTGAAAAGGTAATATATAATAATAAAGAATATATATAACTTAGAAAAAAGATCAGAACCTTGTTGGCCTGGATAATATCCTGCACCAGGTGTACTCTGCCAACTTGCCATCTTTGGTTTTTGTTTTAACTGAAAAAGAACCTATTATTACCATCAGACATTGTTGCAAAAGATATAACATCAATGGAACACCAGTGTACGAATGTACCAGCAACCTTAAAGTGGAATGATATATAAAATTACTAAAATAAAAGTTTATTGCTCAACATACTAGAAATCATTTTGTCAGTTTCAAAGTGGTTAATGTTCAAAATATTTCTATATTAAAGGACCACAAAACATATGTTTATAATAATGCATCTGATATTGCATTTACATTAAAACAAAAATAAATTTTAAAATGATTTTCTAAATTAGTAGTTTTATGTAATTTTTTAACATAGCAAACATGCTCACTTTTAAAAACATAAGAAATATATGGACCATTTATTTTTTGAAAAAAATGGACTTGCACCACTTTCAAAATAAACGGTCCATATCATTTTTAACATTGCAACATTCTACTTTTATAAGTGACACAAACAATATTGAAATTATATCCTCAATATTAATATACCTTTCATCTATCTTTCAAATATCAGATGTCTTAACTCACACTGATTCTATCATCATATATATGAAAAATGATATAAAATATACCTTAAATTACTATAAGCATTACAAAATGTAATGTACTCATATGTATAGGCACTCTTTAATTGACATACCGTTTATTTTCACGAATTTTTAATGACAAACAAAATATAACAAAATTATTTTAATAATAAAAATTCAAAAACATCATCTTTAAATACTATAAATATGAGCACAATTAAACTTTGTCAATTTTTTTAAAGTATAAAGGTTAGCTGAAAACAATGTTAGAAACACTAGTTAATAATTATCATTATATTTACGTTTACGTACAATCTTAAATTCACATTGCTGTTACAATCCAACGTTGCTGTTAAAAAAAATTTGTTCATTAAAAGTACAAGTACGAAACATCGTATTTTCGATTAACAGTACAAATAAAAAAGAAACAAAAATTAATATTACATAAGTTGAGCAACTTTAAGCATCCTGCTGTAAAGTCAATAATTATTATTCTTTTCTATTTTAGTTTAAATCGGGAAGTACCAAATAAACTTTTTCCGATAACAACCGCAATGATCATAACATTGTGAAATATAGAAGTAACGAATATGATACTTCAACGTTTTTCGCATTTACAGCTAACACGGTACGACGTTGAAGTTCACGAGAAGACTTTTGTATACTATGAAAGATATTTTTACAAAAACGTCACGAACATTTTCCTACAAATATGTGCAATATTAACCGGGGAAACGTGTTATTAATTGTATACGTCAAGTTGATGCGTCATGCGCTCTGTCTGGAAATGGTTACAATCGATAACCACATTCGTGAACCCAATGTAAGTTAAATTTATTTACCTCTGGCAGAGAATGTTTAAAATCCTTAAACGAATGCAACTGCTTGAAGTGATAATTACTTCAGTTAAATCGCCGACCACGTCCACTTATGCCCTACAGTTTGTACGTGCGATTACGTTCGTAACGTTACAAAGATGTCACACTCCCCACTTTTCAACCTTAGAATGAATCTCATACGAGTAACTGATACGAAGTAGGTTGAAACTGGTCATGCTTTAACACATTTCGCGCCTGCGTAACATATTTTTCGGAGTGCTGTTTACTGCAAAACGAATATATATATATATAATTTCCTAGAAAAATATTGCGTGGTGTGATGTGTCCTTAAATTTTAATTAACGCAGCGGAATGCAATATGATCTTCTGAATGTTGTAAAATAAATAATACAGTTAGGTTTATTACTGATTTAGGAATTCTTATACAAGTAATCCCAGTAGCTGGTCTTCCAGAAGCTTCATGAAATTTGGAAAGATGAATCTAGATGTTGAATAATGACATTTTGTATACCATTTCGTTCTAAGGCGTATTTTTTGTAAACAATTAAAATTAAATCTTCAAATTGTTCCTAATTTTTAACATTAATTAACAATTTATTGTGTTATGTAACGCGTCAGATAATTGTCTTATACCAGGAGGTGTAATCTTAAAATGTATGAGTAATTAATGTTTTATGTTAAACGATAAAACTTTGTATCATTGGATCTAACGCACACATTATAATTAGCTTATTGAATTTTTTATTTATAAACTTAATGTAACAAATTAAATGTACTACATTATTTTTTATACAAAATATATGATATTGACAAAACAGAATTAGTGTCGTTGTATGATTTAATTCGCAGAATATGATAAAACAGACTTTGTAACAAATAGAAAAAACGATAGAGTTGTGTAATACTTCAATAATTAACTTCTACATTGCATTAATACGTAGTTGTAAGAAATAAATGTTTTTTCATCATATTACACGTATTTACGTTTTCATTGTAAAAGTTCAGGCGTACCAAAAGACGTATAATAAATACTATTAAAAAACTAGTCATAAGTAGTACCAATAAAAAAACATGAAATGACTTGTTTTCAGAGTCCACGTGCGTGACAGTTGTGGTTATGTTTTCTAACATGTAGTGTAGTTTGTATAATTAGATTAATGACATTGTTGCAAATGATCGTGGAAGCACAAATGATGTCAACTTGTAAAATACACAATATTAGGTTTTATAATCTTGAACCTCGATCTGTTACTTGTTTATCTTACGAAACTAAAACAAAAAAACTTGCTCTTGCAAGGTAAGTTTTACAGTATACAATTTTAATTAAACTGCAAAACTTGTAATAATATTTATGGTAACTATTTTATAGGAGTGACAATTCAATTGAAGTTTGGAATGTTGGAAATGCACCTTTTATAGAGTGTACAGTACCTGGTCATGCTGAAAATTCTATAGAAAACATTCTGTGGATTGGAACAAGGTTGTTTTCAACTGGTCTTCATGGCATGATAGCAGAATACGATTTAACAACATTATGTATTAAAAATGAGGTTGCAGTAACTGGAGGTGCAGCTTGGTGTATGGATGTTAACCATACCAAAACATGTTTAGCTATTGGTACTGAGGATGGATATATTAATACATTTACTGTTGCTTCCGATTCATTGATATATGAAAGGTTATTTGATAAACAGAAGGGAAGAATTCTTTGTATTAAATGGGACAACACAGGAAAAATGATTTATACAGGATCTGCAGACACAGTTAGGGTTTGGAATGCTATATCAGGTCATGCAATTCATAAAATGACAACTTCCAGAAAGGAAGCAAAAAAAGAAACTATCATTTGGTGCTTAGGAGTTACTGATGATAATATAATAATTTCTGGTGATTCACGTGGGTGTTTATCATTTTGGGATCCTCATATGGGTACATTAATTGAATCCCACGAAAGTCACACAGCTGATATATTAGCTGTCTCTTTGACTCATGACATGAATATTGTGTACTGTGCTGGTGTTGATCCTGTAGTAAGGAGTTTTTGTAAAATAACTATGAAATCTAGTGGTAGACCACAGTGGGTAAAAGGAATCGAAAGAAGATTACATACTCATGATGTAAGAGCTTTAGTTGAAGCAGATGGGAAATTATACTCAGCTGGTGTGGATGGATATCTTGCTCAATCAAGTTATCCACCAAAAGCACTGGTTAAGTATCCACCATTACTTCAGCCTCCATGTGCAACTGTTTGTAGAAAATCTAGGTGTATTCTGTTACGATATACAAACTTTCTCGAGCTATGGAGGCTTGGTTTATCCACTAAAGTACCTTCAGAAATGCTACATCCTGGTATGTTTCATCAGTTAGAGGAGGAGCCTATAAAATTGTTACAAATAAAAACGAAAAGGGACGAGAACATTATTTCTTGTGCTATTAATAAGGATTCTAAAACAATTGTTTATTCAACTGATAGTCATGTTAGAGTTTTTAATTTTGATGTAATCGAGGGAGATGCACAGTTGTCAAAGAATGACACAGACATTTCTGTAACCAGAATAGAGAAAATGTTATTTAGTCCAAATGGAAAATTATTTGTAACAATCAATAATGATGGAAAAAAGAACACTGTAACATTGTATAAAGTGGAGAAGAAACATCTGAGGCATCTTGGTTCTTTTAGTACAAACAAAGAATCCATTGTAAATGTTGGACTTGCATGTTTTTCACCTGACAGTAAATATTTTGTTTGTGCTGACCGCAAAGATAGCATTGCTGTGTATAATTTTAATGAACGTTCACCTCCAGGCACACCTGTGGCATGGTTGTTGCCTAAGTATAGCTGTCCACCAACAGCTATGGCAATTCAGAAAGACACTTTAAATTTAGTTGTTGTATATTCAGATCACAAGGTAAGGAAAAAAATATAAACAGAGAAAGTGGTTTATGTATTTTATGTTCATCTTGTATATTATATAGCAATTTTTTTTTTTTTTTAATTCTTACTATCATAAAACGATGAGTTAGTAGTAATTACATCAGCTATAAAAAAACGTATAATCTGTCTATGACCTGCACTTTCTGCCTTCCATGAAACTGGCAGTAAATTATTGCTATAACTCTCTTTCACTATAATGTTAGACGCAAAATTAAAAACTATAAAGTTACACATTTTATCGACGATTACTTTTCCGTACTTAACCGTCGACCGTTTAATTTCAGATCGTCGAATATAACATTTTACAAAGGCAGTATACCAAATTTTCAAACAATTTACAAAGTCGACTTCCTAAACAATGGTTGGCACGCTCCTTTCCTATAACTAACATCATTTTCGACCCGCGCAACGAAAATATCATAATCATGCACGACGACTCGACGGTTTATGTGATCGACAAATTACACGATTTTCCGGAAAAAGAAGCGAAAATTCCAAAACGCGAGAACGACGACTTCATGGAAGATAGTAATTCCATGTTTAGTTCGCAGTCTCAACAAGCCTTTCAGGTCCTCAAAAAGTACAAGGTAATTTCGATTATCACATTGCTACGATCCGAATATAAAAATCAAACTTTCACCATCGATCATATGTTACAGCACCTTGTATACTTGGATTGGTTGAACGAGGAGGAATTAGTAGCCGTCGAGGTGAATCCGATATCATTGACAGAGAAATTACCGCCAACGCTCAAACAGAAATGGTTCGGAATGTAAAAAGCACGAAGAAAGAAATAAACATATTATATTCCATTCTTTTCATGGAATCAAATGTTGTGTATAAAGCTGTTGGCACGTTTTTGTGGAATACCTGCTATCTTAAGAAACCTTGGAATCATCACGTGTTTCTACGACTCGCACACTATCACGATTCTCCTGTTTATAAATACACCAAAACTATGACAATTTATTTTTCAATACATTTGTTACAGTGTACTACAATACCTTGCGTACAAAATATACATTCCATAGTTTATTCAATCCCATTTCATCATTAACCGAGAAAGATGAATCGTTGCTGTGTGATGCGAAATTCGTCAGGTTCCACGGGCATTTCGATCGTTCGTTTTGGTGAAATGTACCAGCAACCTGTAAACTCGAGATTGTATTCCGGGCGAGATGATCGAAACCCCACCATACCGGATGTCGTTCTGGGAATGGACGGCGATGGTTTCAGAGGAATCGGTGAACGTTTAATCGCATCTTCCGGCGGTTTGTGTTCGAAAGTGTCCGCCGGAAATCCCTTCTTTCTGCATTCTTCGGTTAGCACCTACGGTCAGTGACACCGACGAACATTAAAATTCGTGTGGTGCACATTGCCCGATACTACACCGTGCGTTTCCTCGCGGCAACTACGTTCTACCTTCTTCAAAAATTCACCGGTTAGGTGTTCGTACTTTCTGGACCAATTCCGTCGAAACAATTTCTCCCGTAGCATAACTTCTTTACTGGAATTCGTCAATTACACGTTAAAAATAGATCATTAGGTATATCTCCGTGAAATGAAACGAATTCCCTGTAACGTGTACTCTTACCAAATGCCATCGAAATTCTCCAGGTCCTTCGCGTTAGTTTTCTCGATCTTTCGATTCTCCGCGTTATCTTGATGCTTGTCGATCATTCTCCTCGATCACTCTCGTTCGCAAAGAAAATTGATTTTTCAATATTAGAAAAGCGAAGAAAAAAAAAATCGTCGGAAAACTACAACGAAAGAAAATCACTCGCAGGTAGAATCCTTTAAGTCGAAACCTTTGTACAGAGTTTGTTCGATATCGTACCCCGTTGCCATAGTCGATCTTTACCCACCGTATTTATGGGAAGATAGTGACACAATGACGTTCGATGTATTTTACAGGCAGAAATACTTATCGTTGGAGGAGGAACGATCGTTCACTTACTACCAGCTCGTACATCGTTGAAGCACAGCGCAGACGGTTATCCGCGGCGAGTATCAGGCCTCGCGATCACCGGACACGACTATCGATTTTCAGTAACAGCCGTATAAAATGTAGGAAGCGAGAAAATCTCGTTGAGCCAGGGTAAACCGTGCCTAAGGACCGGCTACACGAGGCCATAAACCAAGAAGCGTTTAATCTTCGCCGCGAGTTGTAACCCGCAGCCACGAAGGAGAAGGCGTAGACATAGCGGCTTAAGCCTCCAGGAAATAATCAAAGCGGCGATACAGCGGCAAATACAGAGAGAGAGAGAGAGACAGAGAGTGTGTGTATCGCGCTACGGCAGGAGGAACGATGGCAGCCTCTGGTATACGTGAATTTAGGTGCGCCTAACACGTTCGTCTTGGTTCGGCGAGAAGGTAACGGTTTGGAAAGCTTTGTAGTTGCGAGGTCTTGGGCGGCAGGAAGGGGATGGAAATGGCTGCAGAGTGCAATGCGCTGAGATTACGACTAATCTGCGCCCGAGACTGGTCGGAAACGTAGTTTCTGTAACTTACATCGCTTAAAGCGTCAGCTCGTTCAACCCTCAAACTCCGTCGCCGTTACCACCCGCACA